TTAAACCGCTCCACTTGGACCAAACCGGTCAGCCTCTCCTTGGGAATGTCGAACCCCATGTCATTACCTATCTATGAAAAGGTGTAACTCACTTTTTAAAAGTTAAAATTGTGGCATTTTTTACGTTATATTAAAGAATTTGGGTGATATAAATGTAAAAAAAAGCAAAGTTTAGATGTTAGATAAGTAAACACATAAAAATCGGGCGGCATGTATGTAAATGCCCCATCTATATATGATAATCATAATTCTTCAACTGACCATGATCTTATTTACATGCTTACTTAAAATTCTGAGTTTTGCCTGGGTTAAAACACCCTATTTGTATTTTCAGGTTGCCATTCCAGTGATCCCAACAATTAGGGTGTTGGTCAGTTTCACCAAGTTTGAAGAACTACAATCTTCACCCCCTGAATCACTCCACGCACCTATTCCAACCCCTGAACGGGAATTCCCTCTAGTAAATTCTGCTAATTGGACTCAGTGGCTAATATCTACGTTCTCTCCTGATAACACTCAGTCTGAAGCACCACCAGAGCATAGCAGCAATTCCGTAGATTTGGAGGACCCTTTCAGGATTCCACCAGATTATGTTTGGACAACCTCTGAGGCTAAGAAGAAGAAGAAGATGCAGGAGGCTAGTGGGAAACAAAAGAAGCGGTACCAATGTTAACTTCTCTCGTCAAATGTTAAGTTCAATATTTGTTTGTACAGGTTTAATGATTCTTTGGTAATTTTTGCAGAATAATCTTGTAAAAATGAAGTTGTAATGGAAGGTGAATAAAGTCTGCAAAGGAAAAAAAAATGTTGCTTTTGTTGGGGTATGTACTTTGTGATTTTTGCAAACATGAAACTTGCAATTGGGGTTGCAAGACCTGAGATGATATTTTCATCGTCATTGATATGGTGCTTGACAGGTTGGTCTGGTTTTTGAGAATGGCCGTTATTGTTTTTATTATGATATATACTATTGGGTTGAAGGTGGGGTGGAGGAAGAAGAGAGAGAGAGAGATAATAATGAAATGGAACTTAATATTTTCTAGTAATGCCTATTAACTTGTTGATACAATATGGAAAGATTTAAATAAGGTTGTGAAGATCAGAACATTGAACCGGAAGAAAGAAATGTTCAAAAGTTCAATGGGAAGAAAGAGATGTTAAAAAGTTCAATGGTTCAATCAGGATTACGTTGTAGGGTTAATTGGATGATGTAATAAATATTTAAATTATTTTAATATAAATAAATAATAATAAAAAATATATATTAATATAATTTTTATTGTTTCAACAAATAATATTTTCATTTAAGAAAAAATTTCTTGAATATTTTGAACAATATTCTAAATAAGAAATTCAAGACATGATATTTTCTCTATTTTTAAATTTAAATATCTTATTTTTAATCATTCGATTAAAATCAAAATATTAAAATTAAACAATTTTAGCTGACCAATTCTTTATAAATCAGACTGGTTCGTCAGTTCAATTATGATTCTTATCGATTCAATCTTTTTTCTTTGCAGAAAAGATTATAAGTTTGGACCGAATCAAATGAGTGATCAGTTCACAGTTGAACTAGGTCTTATTCAATTTTTAAAACCATGGGTTCAAAGGAGTAACAACAGCTGAATGAAGAGAGAAATGAAAAGACTTGTTAAAGTATAAAAGGTGTGCAGAGCAATCATCGTGCTAAGGAGGGGCCCTAGTTAAAGTATTATGAAAGGGAGCATGTTAGCCAGTGAAAAGTGTTCTCTATATACTTTTGAGCACAAGGAAATGGATGAGAACGCCTAGAGAGGCATGGATGGACTCATATGGGACCATATGATGTGGGCGAGGTCAAGGTAGATCTTCGATGGAGGTAATGACATGACCTCAAAAGCAAAAGAAGATAGGACACCCATGTGAAGATGTCTCATCTAGGAAACTCGTAACATAAAGAAATCATAAAAAATAAGAGTGCATATTAGAAAAGAGATGGCATACAAAGACCTAGGTTTATATAGAGTTATGGAAAAATGGCATTATATTGATTGCAAAATATATAAAGTATAGAAAAAATCCACATTACTTATCTATCAACACTAATATGGAAGTGACATGAGATGGAGAGAGAGAGAGGAGGAGGAGGTGGAGGAGTCCTCTCCATCATTACAAGGAAGTTTGCATTTCATTGGGTTTGATCCCTAAATCCCCCATTTCTTGGAAGATGAAGAGTGGCATTTAAAGAAGTTAAGGAGGTTGAGATGGCACTAAAGGAGTCAAAATGATGCTAAGACCTGGTTGAAGAAGCGATGAAATAATAGGGGCATAAAACTAGCTGGTTTTAAATTTGTGACCACCATAAATGCCTCTTTTTGCGTTGAGTTTGACCACGGGGCATATAGTGTATTGAGAGATCATAGTCTAATTAGCAGAAAATGGATGACTGATAATTTATGATCATTGAGAGATGTTCTTGATGCAACAAGGCATTATTAAGGACATGATGGGTTGTTATGCCAACGAAAAAAATGAGTCATCTCCATAGTGGCTAGCTCAAATGAATGCACTAGGGGATGAATGATCCTCACATCTAAGGGAATATTTTGATAGACTTATTGAGATTATAAGCAAGACCAACCAACTAGCTCAAAGCTAGGTTGGGCACAAGGGGTTACCTGCAAATTAGAATGGCTTGTTGGAGAAGCCTACAAGAGAATCATCTTTAGGGTTGATAGATATTTTGATTGATTTTATAGTTTATGTAGTTGACCAAGATGTTGAAGGGAGGATAGGCAGTTGAAAAGGTTGAACCTTGATAGGGCTGACTTGAAGATTTAAGAGAAACTTGTTTATCTTTATGGTGACATTTATGTTTCACTAAAGGACACCAAGTTGCAACAATGGAAATTATTGGAAATAAGTCGGTTTTCCACATGATTTTTTTTCAAAGTTTGATGATTGACCATAGGAAAATCATGTCATTAATTTTAATTTATCTATGGGGACTAATTTGGGCAGTTAATTTTGTTGCTCTGATTTTGATTGCTTCTTACCACATGAATACTTTTCACCTGGGATGAAAAATTAACTATTTCACTTTGCTCCTTATTTTTAACTCTATATATAAGTACATGTGTTTGAAATGAAGAGTTCATCAAATTTTAAACACCACTATGAGATGTCGAGTGGCTAACTCAAATTATTGGGAAAACTTTGTAGCACTGAGTTTTCAAAACCATACATTTTGAACCATTCAAAGGGTTTTAGTAATGATGTGATAAATATACCTCCATCCAATTTTTAAGGAATGATATTCAATGTAACAAGATTGGTTTTATTGCATAATTTAAATGAACTCATTTATCTATACATTTTTACCTAAATGTGCATGTGCAGTGGTTGCTGACATTTTAAAAAAATTTAGAGAAAAAATGTAGAGAAAAGGTAAAACCCTTTTAGTAGAAAAAAAAAAGTTCATTTGGTTGTTTCAACTTAGAGAACATATTTTGGATACATGTATAATTCATTTAGTTGGACAAAGCTAAAAAGAAATCTGATTCTTTAAATTTAAAGATAATTGAATGTCTTATTTGAATGTTTTTTAAGGGCCAAACACTGAAAAGTTCAAATTCTTTAGAGCTAGACAGTGAAATGCTTAATTGGCTTATTTGCATTGCTTCACCTTAAACTAAGCATGGACGCGGCCTCACTTTTCTGATCAACATCTCTCTATCATAATTCTTCCTTCAATCCTCCGTTCTGTCCCATAACAACTCTTTCTTCTTATATCAATCAAAACAAAGTAACTTTGTATTTAATTATAGAGGAGTATATATATATATATACACACACACACACAGAAAAAAATAAATAATAAATTATTTACATGTTGATTCATCAATTTTTGTTAATTTTAATATTTACATATATAATATTTTATTGTCACAATCACATCAAAAACCTGAAATGATATACTTAGTATTATTGATATATATATATTATATATATATATATATATTTGATGTGGTGCTAAAAATTTGAGTATTATATAAGTAAATATTAAATTATTGATTTCAGATGTATAAATGCATAAATTTATGTGATTTATATGTGAATTCCCCTTAATTAAAACTTTCTAAATAATTATAATCAAAATAATTATAGATAATTACTTCTACTCAAAATTGTGCAATGAAGCTACAAAAAATAGTAATAATAGATAAAAGTTGGCCTCTAAAATGATTAAAGAAATAATTATTTTTAAACTATATTTAGTATGTTACTAGCTGTTAAATCAGTCATCAATGAACTGGTCATAGCATGCAGCCCCAAATATAATCACAATGATATATTTTTTTGTTTGATCTTAATTTCTCCAATTCTATATTTTTCATGCCAAAAAAAAGAAATAAATTCAACTTATTTTTTGTCCATTGCATTATTTATCGCTTGTGTAACGAAAATATGAAAAAAAATACAATTCTTATGTATTTATATATCGTATACAAAAATTTTAAATTTATACACATAATACTTATTAATGTCACATCAAAAATAATAATATTATCACTTTTTAAAAATAAAAAAATATATATTTTCATGCATAAAATTGAAGCGTCATATATGTAAATAATATATGTAAATATGAAAGTTTAAGGGTGAGATATGTAAATACATAGGAATTATGTGTCAACTATATAATTATTCCCCTGCCACCAGAACTCACCACGTGTCTCACCGGCGTCCAAGACTTTTCTTCGCACCACATCCACGAACACAACCAGCGGTCCTAGCAAAGGCCACCAGGTCCCTCTTCCCTTGATTAGGCTCTGCCGACTCCGGTCCAATATCCTCTCCCAATCTCTATTCTTAAGCTAGTCCCAAAGCATAGTATTTAAGAAAGCATGTGCTTTTCATCACGTCCGTTAATGCGGTTAACATAACAAAAAGCCACGGAACAAAATACGCCCTAACATTAGAGCAAATCTTACACGACTCCTGAATGAAACATTAGTAGGGCTGTCGGAGCTGTTTGTTGTTGATCAGTATACACTTCCTGTTTAATTCATTGCCTAAAAAAAATGGGCTGATTATGAACAATTTCCTCACTTATATATAAATGAGGCGAACGTGAAGAAAATTTTAAATAGTTCAATTAACCACAAGACTATAAAGATTTATAATCAATTAAAATTATTAATTAAAAATAGAATAAAAATATTAAAATTTATTTAAATGAATGTTTTATTATAAATAATAAGATTTAAATCACGCACTATCCTTAACATCTTACTGTTACGTGATTAAAGTTGTCAAATGGCTCAGTGTTCGTGAATAGCTCATGTTCGGCTCGATAAGTAAGCGAAGCCAAACATAAACAAATTTTTTGAGCTTGATATATATAAATGAACCGAACACGAACAATGATATTTTTTAGCAATCCAAGTCTGGACTCACTTAAGCTCGGCTTGATTACACCCCTAAAGACTGAATGCATGACTAGGGTTGTCAAAATAGTTTTTTGTTCTTGAAGAGCTCTTATTCGGCTCCCTAAGCAAACGAGCAGTACACGAATGATTTTTTTATGTTTGAAATATAAACGAGCCGAACAGGAAGAGTGATGTTTTTTAACAAGTCGAACATGAGTTGAGACTAGGCTTGCCCTTGTTTTACTGGTTTACTAGCGCATTTTCTGTCCGGACTCCTGACGTAGCTCTACGTGCGGTGTAGGTTATGTAGGTTATTCCTGAGTTATTTTTATTCCTGAGTTATTTTCAGATTTTTTCTGAGTTATTTTCAATAATCCAGAAATAACCCAGAAATAACCCGCAGTCTTTATTTTTGGATTATTTCGGTATTATTGAAAATAACCCATAAATAACATGAAAATAACTCAGAAATAACTTCCGTCACACCTAGAACTATATTAGGAGTCCGCACAAATAAATTACACCCTT